CTACATTCATCACACTTGTGTTGTTGCAAAACCTTCTGTCACCTAAGGTAACAGTAGGGTAAGTGACGACCTAAGGCAACATTAGGAAAAGTGAAACAGATGCATATGCCAAGAGAAGTAATGCTTCCCTTAAACCACTTTCCAAAATCTTTAAAATATCTTTCCAGATATTCCTGATCCAAGCCCACCACACCATACTCCATGCCAAAAATACTTCCATAACTGGCAGCATCATAGTTCAGTAAAACAACTCAGAGGGCTCAACCTTTAGGACATGCAGGCTGATTGCCGACACTGGACATCTGTTCCTTCAGTGAAGGCCTGCATGACATCACTTGCCCAGTACTCAGAAAGATGGTGATGCTCATGACTGACTTGTAGGGAGTCATCAAAACTGTAGGATCTCCTTTGTTGTTCTGAGGCAGCATTTTTTGCTTAAATAAATAATAATATTCTAAGGGAGTACCACTGGACTTTAGCTCCATTCTCACATCTCTTTGTTAACTCTTGCATTTATGTGCTAATTTGCTGCCATCCATTGATCTTACTGGCCACCTGACCCAATTTCAGCTCTGCATATGCCTCTTGGCTCTAAGTGGCCCCTCCTAATGCCCCCCCACTCTTTTTTCCTGTAAGTAGCCCTTGAGGAGATTTTATTCCAATTTGTCTGAAGAAGTGTGCTTTGCACATGAAAGCTTACACTTTGAATAAAACTCTGGTCTTAAAGATGCCACTGGACTCAAACTTTGTTCTACTGCTTCAGACCAACACAGCTACAACCCACCTGAATTTTTCTTAATGTATTCTAAGTTCTTGATGTTATATAAATCACTATGATTTTTAGAGAGATGAGCTATAAAAGTTTAAAGTGTTTTATTTTAGGACCCCATGAGCGAAGTAAGCCTGACTCTCCCAAGGGACTGGCCTGGGGACACAAAAATCAAGGCAGCAGGCAGCTACTGGGAGCTATAAAGCTGGGCCTGCAATGGGCATCTGATTTGCTGCAGAGACGTGGAAACAGGTTTGGGTACATCTGTCTGTCTCCTAGAAAATATCACTAGCACTGAACTTTTGCAAAAGAAAAAAAGTGTATTCAATGCAGGCTGGAGAAATTTTCATTAGTCTATTAAAAGCTTCTTTCTGTCTCAATCAAAAGGACCAGCCGATTGCTAATATTTACACCTACATTTCACCATTCTTCCCAGGCGCTCCAAATGCTGTATATTCTGAATATGTGCTGAATTTGCTTTGATGCAGAAAAAGAATGGCAATTTACATAGTAAGGGATATCTTTAGGGCACATCAGGTTATTTCTGTACTAACGTTTGCAGGGCTGTAGCCAGGAAATTTTGGTCAGTGGGGGATGAGGAAATCTGGGGGGAGGGGTGCCCCAGCCATGCCTGCTGCTGTTCTTGCAGCAGCAGAAGCAGCAGCTTCAGCTCCGCTGCGACCTCTAGTCCTCTTCTAGTTCTTTTAATTGGAGAGACTGGATTCTGGGCTGCTTTTCTGTGTAAGGGGGGGGGGTAATCTCCAACTTGCTCTCTTTTGCATTTTGCAGTTTTATTTTATGCAATTTGATTTATTGCATTTTTAAGAACCTATTTATTTTTCAGACAGGAAAAAAGAAAATGAGACTGAAGCTTCTCTGACTGTCATTTTGGAAACCCCACATGCATCTTACATTTCTTTTTCGAATGTTTGAATTTTTTTGTCTGTGGGGCATGCTCATCTGGGGGGGCATTGCCCCCCCAAGTGCCCCCCCCATGGCTATGGACTTGAACATTTGTAATACAGTCAAACAAGCTAATGATAAA